CACCACCTGAGACTGGAGACTACACATGGCACCAGCCTAGCCCACTGGCACGTGTTCTCAAACAGAATCAAGCTGCTCTTGCTGTCATGTGGGTCTCCTGGCACCACACACAGAAGCCATGCGCTATCAGGCCTGGCCCTGTCCTACCTACATGGAGCCAGCCTGGCCTGATGGCACATGAAGTACATGGAGGCAGGACCCGAGCCAACCCAAGGGTGCCCAGCTCCTATGTATACAGTGCCAGGAACACCACATGACAGCCAGACCAGCCTGGTCCCACCTGAAAGTATGCACCAGTGGGCCAAGTCAACACCCTACACCATATGCAGCCCCATCTCAGGCAGCGCCATGTGGCTGGGGGTATCTACCAGAAGTGGCCATGAGCACCCCGATGGCTGCTGCTGCTGTGGGGGGTGGGGCTGTGCACCATGCAGAGGAGCACGCAGGGGACCCACTCCTCCTACACAGTCCCCCCGCTTCCAGTCCCCCCACCCTCACATCCCTACTTAACTGGGACAGAGCCTGGGTCCAAGCTACTGGTGGTACAGCCTTGCCCTGCTTCTATTTGCTCCACAGCAGAGGCATGTGGCAGAATGGAGACACTCTGGCCATGTGCTAGAGTATCTCTATGGGGGACCCAGCTTCTGGTTGCTTCTTTTTCCCCAGTGGGTTATTTTTTGATACCGGATTTCCTGGTCTCAAACTTAAGAGTCTGTGCTACAAATATACAGCATGGAGGAAATTTTTTCATTCCCAGTGTGCCTCTTGCAGTGTCTCAAACTGCTTCGGTGTGCCGCAACAGGTATGTGCTCACTCATCTGGCTGCAGCTGGAAAGTCTCTAGATTGTCCTACACACATATGACATGAGATCAATCTCATGGCCTAAAATGTTATATAACCAATTTTATTGCCTTTATAGAGAAGGACATACCTGGAGGGTTGCTATGAGAGCTATATAGTACCAAATTTGCCGGCAACTTCTTAAATTCTATGGGAATGCATGATTTAGCGTAATATAATTTTGAGCTACTTGCCTCTACCTGAGTCGTCATCTTTTTTAAATAGTGCAAGTGATTTATTAAATTTATCCAAATAGAAAATAGGAGTTGGCTACAGACTAGGTTAATTTAAATAGAAGAATGAAAGGCATAGGAAGAAAAAATAGGATTCACTCAGAGTGAAAATAAAAATCATAATTAGCATGCTTAATGTCATATGAAAAAATGATGTATGATCTATAGAACTGAATGGACACATTTAGGACGCAATTTTCAGCCCCTAGGTGAAAACACAAATGCAGGTATATTCTTGGAGCATGCACATCCAAATTTGTGTCGCATTCACGCATAGTCCTCATCTTATACAAATTATGCACAGGGGCTGTAATACATCACAGTTTAAGGTGACTAACAATTACCAAGTATCTTAAAAGCCTATCAGCCACTTCCCTTGTTCTACTACAGTCTGTTCAAAGAAGGTACGATTTACTTTTAAGTTTGGTTGGTCTCTCTTGTCTTTCCTTACAAGTCTGAGAGTGAATCTGGAGATTAGTAAATTGAAAAATCAACACCACACACTAGCATCAAACGCAGAGTAAACAAAATCTAATCTTCCTCTAGATCTGTGCAAATGCACCTCAATTCTGACTGACACTGCTCTCTTGCTAATCCACGCTCATGTTCTTCCTGAACAAAGGCTGCCAGGCTAAGCAGTAGGCAACAAAACTCATATTCACTACGCTTGAATTTCGCTAGACATGAAAAAAATTAATGAGGCACTAACTCACCACTCCATTCCTCAAAATTTCTCTTATAAAAATATATATTCATGGTGTACCTGTCTTTTCCACTTCCATTCTTCTGATTAACATCTGTTCCCTTCTCTACCAATATTTCCACAAGCCTGTATAGAAATAGGTTTCCATCATGAGTAACTTGCAGTAAACCAACACTTTTCACTAAAATGAAAAACACCAGGGGAAAAAAACATTGAAAACTAGTTTGTATAGAAGCTGATTACTTATTTAAGACTTAAGGAGAGGGTTTTCTTGTTTAATTTGCATAGAGACAAATTCCATAGAGAATGGAATTATTCTTTGAATTATCAAATTAGCCTTTTAGCTTAAGAGAAAAAAGGAAGTAGTGATAATCTGCATAACATATATCTTTTATAAATCAACCCTGATTTATTATTTTGATCCAATTATAGCACAGAAATGTAAAAAGCAAATTACACGCAACAAAAAGATACAAGAAAGGCAGTAATACCTATCATATCCTTTCTGTGAAGCCACCATCAGAGCAGTAAAGCCTAGCTTATCAGGAACATCTACCTTTACATGTCTAATAGAAAGAAAGGAAAAAAGTTACTAACCAGCATATTTCAAATATTTTCACAAAAAATTACACATCTTTCCAAAGCATATTTATTTAGAGTACTATTGTTTAAAGAAGTATAGTCATCTATTAAATTTGCCAATGCCCTTGATAATTGTATCTAAAACTGAATACTCAAGCTTGCTGATTTCTGGTCTGACTGTTTATTTTTTGGGTTTTTTTCCATAGAAATGTTTTGACAATTTCTTTTTTTTAATTCCAGTTTTCAGAGAAATTCAAGTTACTTATATAAGGGCCGCCAAGGTAAATAATATTCTGTAGTAAAATACTTCATCACAATATAGTTGAAGATGTAAATACAGAATAAGTCAAATAAAATATAACATTTTAATAAATCATTTTAAAGGAAGTGCATTCGGACAAAAGATCCACAAACAACCTGGAACCCTAGAGACAATTTTTGGGCTGATACCGATGGCCAATTTTTAACAAGCCATATCGGCTGATACTGATCCGATTCCAATATGCAGCTGGGCAACGTAGAGAGTGGCATCCAACTGGTAAGTCTGCTGTGGGGGGAAGGGAAGATGCGGGAGGAAGTGGGGCTGAGGCAGGCACTGCACAGCCTGAGCGGAGCGGGGGATGGAGCTGCGAGCAGCTTGTCCAGGGTGTGTGGGATGGGAGGCAGAGGCTCCTGCTACTGCACACACCCCGGGAGGGCATGGGGGGGGCACGTGCCCCTGAATCTGCGTGTGGGATGAGGGTGGGCTGCCGCTGCAGGCTGGGACCAGGGCGGCACTGGGCTCTTCCAAGCAGGTGGTTGGGCCGGGGCTGCGCTTGGGACAGGCAGCAGTAGCACTGGGAGGGGGGCTACAAGGGGATCTACAGCCACCCCAAAATTTGCCATAACCCCCTCCCATAGCTCCTGGTCCCAGCACTTTCACCACCCACCTCAAGCATAGCCTGGCACAACCTCCCACTGGGAAGACCCAGGTGATGCCCTGGACCCAATGCCCTGCATACAGATCCGGGGCACCCCCCATGCCCTCCCAAGGTGCGTGCAGAGGTGGAAGCCGCCACCCTCCCCCACCTCCTGGATGAGCCATTTGCGACTCCATCCCATGCCCCGCCCTGGCTGTGCAGCGCCTAACTCCACTCCCTCCCTTACTGTGGGGGCCTTGAACTGCCCCACCCATGCCACTTCCCTCACAACAGACTTACCAGCCAGAACAGCTGCTCTCCACACTGCTGGATTGCGCTCTTGGCTGCCTGCATGCTGCACTGTAGCTGCATGCATGCAAAGGGCCTTTATCAGTGGCATTATCCCACATCAGCCTAAAAAAAGCCAATTGCTAATGCAATCAATTTTCCTTATATTGGTGCCGACCTGGTATGGGACCAATGTATCGGTGCGGCTCTCTTTCTGGGTATTCCTGCAATATTGATACTGTCTGGCATCAGCCATGTTTACATGTGCACCCAGGACCATAGCACATTGAGCTGGGGTGAGCAGCCCCAGCTGGCTGAGGACCCAGGGGGTCAGTCTGCCAGCCCAGGGTTGCTCTGATCTGGCCCAATGTGCTGAAGAGGGGCTGGCTAGAGCATGAGAGTGCTTCAGTGTGAGACTAACCAGCAGGCAGCCCCTGCACTGAACAACCCTCATGCTCAGGCCAGCCGAGTCAGCATCTACATGTGCACTGCTGCACATGAAAAAACTCCACCTCAGGATAGTACTTGTATGTACAAGTACAAACCTGCTCCAGAGTTTATTAGTTTCTTGCGGCTTAATAGGGCTGCATGTATAGACACCATGATGTTTACTGCAGAGCTAATTAGGCAACTCCTATTTAAACATTTTGTGTAGATGCACCCAATGGGCAAGTCTACACATGCCTCTTTTAAGCAGGTTTAGCCTAAAATTGCCATTTTTAAAGGCATATTAAGGTCATGTGTCCACATGCCTGCACCCATAACATGCCTTAAAAATGCCGATTTAACGCTATGTGTACCTACACTGGATATCTGCATAAAGCAAGTATCAAATTTAGGCACGAATAGCTAAGTTGCAGTAGAGAATGTGTAAATGCACATTAACGTGCATCCACATGCATGTGCGCCAATTGATACACACCAAGATAATGTGCATTAGTGCATCTGCACATATGCTAATACAACTTAGCTATTCATACCTAAATTTAATGCGCCTTAAAGAGCATTAGCATGTCCATGTGTAGATGCACGCCTACTTCTCCTTAATACACCTCTAAGGAAAGGTGTATCAAGTTTAGGCGCACATAAATACACATGCATTAAGTCTGTTTTGAGATGTGGGAGTTAGTCATACAATGGAAGGGGCATCACCAGGGTGAGACTGAGCTAATGGGCGCCTAAATAAAATAGAATGAAACAGAATGGGCTCTATGAAATCTGAAATGGCAAATGTGGATTTTTTTTTCTGAACAATGATGAAAGGCCTAATGTTAGTACTTTGCTTTAAACAGGTGAACTCTCTGACCTATAAGACGTGGTTGCAGACACACAGACATCAACTCATAAAAGAAGAGAAGTAATGATGTAGCTGGAGATGGACCTGGAGATGCACCATTATTTATACAAGAGTGACCTCTGGAAGAATGGACACAGCCAGAGATAAGGACCCAAAGAGAAATTAAGATATGCAAGGGATTGTAAGAGAACAGAAAACAAAATGATCTGCAAGCAGAAGGAAGAACAAGGTGGTGTGATTCTCACGTTCCCTTCAGCACTAGGAAGAGGCAGGTCTATGCACCTGGGGATTCCATACTAAGAAGGATCAACACAATTGATTAAAAAAGTAAAAATAGCTTCAGACTAATAAAAAGGTGTGTGGGGGGGAGATTTGAGAGAAAGTAGTAAAATCCCTGTGCCTGGTTTTAATACACAAGAGAAAAGGCAGATAAACAAGGATATAAAAGGACAAAGAGACTATGTATATGGACATTAATTCAAAGTACTAATGCTAATGGGAGCAGTAGCAGGTAAGCAATACAGTTAATGAAGGGACTAGCCTAGGTCTCAAAACTGGTCACGGTCAACAAGAATCAACCCAAAATGTTTGAACACCAACACTAGGAGTCTGAGCCATAGAACAGAGCAACTAGAACTACTGGTGCAGCATATGAAACTTGCTATTATAGAGATATCAGAACCATGGCAGAACAAGAATCATGACTGGACTATAAATATTAAACAAAATAAGCTTGTTTAGGAAAGATAGAAATAAGGGTAAAGTGATGGGATGGCAAAGTGGTATGGTGATAGCACAGTTAAGTATCCCGCTACAGTTTCAAAAGTGTGAATTTGACCCCCACTCCAGATCCATGGCACAGGCCACCCACAGTTTGCCAAGCTGTACATGGATCATTTGGGCTAGGAGATCAAAGACAGACATATATAACATAAACCACATTAGTCCATCATGTGCTATTGGCTACAGGAACTTTTGCACCTTAATCATACTAGCCCTATGGGCTGCAAAACTAAAAATACCCCCAAAACTTTTTTTGAGAGGGGAGGGTGTTGGGGAGCAGGGGGAGGAGAAATTGGCAATTAGTGTTAATGATGCATAGATAGTAAAGAAATAATAGCATAGCTAAAACAAGCAAATCTGGTTCAATGTCACTTTTGGGAAGAATACACTCACTAATTTTAGAGGCGTTCTGCAAGTTCAGACTTGGTTATGGACAGAGATCTCTACTACAGTTAGAGACATATATGGCTAATTGCTTCATGACAGAACAAAGTCTAATTAGTAACAGAAGGACCCGTTTATTCCTGAAAGTGACAGCCAACTGTTTTCTTCACCAAACAGTAATTAAGCCAACAAAAGTTACATTAGTTTTAGCAACTTCATTTTGGTAAGCAGAGAATATTATTGAAGAGTTTACCATAGAAAACCTTGCTTGTATCCAGTGACTGTGAGTTATTTAAGTTTGAATTAAATTCAAGGATAAACAAAATCAAGCTAGTAGCAAAAGGAGGTTATTTCAAAAGGCAAGCCGAGAGGCTTAAATATGGAAGAGCTGGAGACTTATGTAAATAAAAAGTACAGAGGAAAAAAACAATTAGGCATTTGCACACAAACAGGGAGAAATCTTGTAGGGATATGCTTCAGACCTGGCTTCATAAAGCCAAATGCTGGGGGGGCGTTTTTATGTATTTGGAATAAGCAGAAAGCCTATAAGCAAAGGAAAAAGACTGATCAGCAAAGGAAACTACTGCAGTTTGGAGGTTAGAAGAGACAGAAAACTACCAAAATTATGAAGTTATAGCCTGCAAGCGAAATTAAAAGAAATAGCAAAAGATTGTTTAGTCATGTATGAAACAGAAAAAACAAAAAAATCAAGAGGTAACTACACAGCAAAAATTAGACAGATTACAAGTTTTGCTTGCTTTATGTGGGTTCTGTATGTTCAAATTTGCTCTTATGCAAATGACCGTTTTTATACCAAAAATTTGTTATATGTGAGGTAAATTAATTCTTATGTGATCAGTGTGGGGGAAGCCCGCAGTCAGCTGCTTTGTACTGTGCATTATGGGAGTGATGCACAGCAAATTATAGTCTCCTGTGTGGATCTATGCTCCTCACTCGTTGTCTGAGACACTTGTTTCTGTAGTTGCCATCCCCATTATGATAGTGCCCTGCACTTGTGTGTACTGTCTGCTGTTGGTGAGTACCAAAACTGTCTTGTAAAAGTGGGTCTGGGGGGTCAGTACAGTTGAGGCCTTGGAACATGTCCCTATTTGTTACGTTGCAAAGTGGGTTTCCTTTATGCAAGTTCAAGTTATGAGCTGTTTTCCAGGAACACACGTACAGCATAAAGCAAGGAAAACCTGTAGAAATAATTCAGGCATGTTTTAAGAATGAAACGCAGACTTTACTTGGTTCTCAAGAAAGATGATGCAGCTGAGGCAAAGGAAGGAGTTCTACTGGGAATGAGCATGGGGAGATAGAAAACTACACATCTGGGATGGAATTAAAAAAAACCCAAAGAGCTCAAGTTGGGGAACCATCCCAGAATACTGAGGGAACTGGCACACTACATCAGAAGTTCAGCAGAAAGGATGCTTAATTAGTCTATGAAATGGGGAAGGCATTATGTGACTGAAAAATAGAAAGCACAGTAGCTATATGCAAGAATGGGGGGGAAAGTGATTTAGGAAACTACACACCTGTTAATCTGGCCACAGTAGTATGCAAGGTTTTCATTCTTTCCTTCAAAATTTGTTCAAAAAAGCCATGGAGACATATGGAAAATGAAACAAAGTGCAATATGGATTTACCAGAAGCAGACTGTAACAGACCAGCCTAATATATATCTTTGATCATTTATTTTTTAGACAGAAAAACCCAACCCTGGGTAGATCTAAGTTTCAGGGAATTCAATAAAAATACTGAAAAAAAAACTGCCACATGAGAAATTATTAGTTTAGAAAACGCAAAGTGAGAATGGAGAAGATGAAGATTAGTGTAAGAATTGTAAAATGGCTATGAAATTAACTAAAGGGGCTAAACCAATTGGTTATGCTGAATAGGGAACTATCAGCTGGAAAAAGAGAATATAAGAGTTGTTGGGACCAACTTTATTTAATATGTTCACAGCTGACTTCAGAGAAGAAAAAGTTTCTGACATGAAGTTGGGAGGCATCCTATCTAAAGTATCAAAATATTCTACAGAAAAGATTGGTTTATGTTGAAAATGAGAATAAAAATTAGATTAAATTAATCTGCACAAAGGTGCAAGGCCATACACTTAGGGATTAATTATAAGAATTTGTGCTGCAAGCAGGGCGGCTTATTGCTTTGAAAAAGAAAGACCTGTATGTACTAGCTGATCTCATGATGGCTATGAGCCATCTACATAAGAAACAAAGTATGACCTAGGATGTACCAGGCAAAGTATTTCCAGTGGATATACGGAAGTAAGAATTAATATAGGCATTAGTAAGATTTTTTCTGGAATGTTATATAAAATTTTCATCACTGAATTAAAAATGGTGCAAATTCAGAGAAAAGCCCCTAGGACAATCAGGGAAGTTAAAAGGAAAAACCTAATGTAGAAGGGATGACTACTCTTTAAATACACCAGTGGACAAACAATGAATTATGCTAAGGGCAATACTGGCACAAAAACGGAGTGGCCAAGAATAAATTTCAGCCAGAAACGAGAAGATTTTTAACCATCAGAGGGGTGGAGATCTGGAAAAGAAGGGTTTCTAAGATAAATGGGTCTAAAAAACCTAACTAGTTTTAAAATAGAGCTTGAAAAATTTGTAAACAGGCTTCCTGCAATAGAAGCTCCAGTCCTGTGTCTTAAGCTTCTATCCACATACAAGTGTGTGGTTAAAACGGAAGGCCCTACCTTGATCAACTAATTCAACTTACAATGAACTACAGAGAAAAACCTCCACATCCTAAGCCTAATATTAATCTTGTGCATATCAGAAATGAGGTTCTGAATGCTTGAGATATTAAGAAAAAAGAAAGAGAGAGACAATCTTTGCCTGCCACATATAAAACATTCCAGGATTCAGTTCCACAAGCAAGATCCCTCTATGCTTTCTTTGTGAGGGAGAATAGACAATGAAGGACAATTTAAAATAGAATTCTAGGGAAGGGGTATGGGACATGGAATATATACATTATATCTATTGATCAATCAATCGATCGATCAATAGACAGATATATCAAATGGACAACAGAACTCATGCAGATAAGCAACTTGTCTATCTTCTTCAAGTGCTATTTTATACAATATCCTTGAAATAAAATGGCTAGATATGAATAGCATATTCCATCTGAGGGTGCTCTACTGATCTGTATAATGATACAAAAAGGTTAATTTGTTACTTTTTATTATCATAAAATTTACACTGTAATTTTTAAGACAACAAAACTTGCTTTTTGAAACAAAGTGCAATAGCATCATGCAAATCTATATAGCACTAAATTACACTTTCTGCATATTTTTTAACATGAATATGTTTTTAACCTGAATATGTTCTCACCCTCGCTGAAGAATGTTGAGAACTGCATCTACATCATTCATACTGACAGCTCGATGGAGTTGCTCTCCGCTCATTGGCTCTCCTGAAAAACACAAAGCATGGAAGTACTTGCAGTACTATTTAGACACAGACTCGTTCTACTGGTGTTGCCAAGTATTAAAATGCTGCAGGTAAATGACTAGCTTTCACATTTTTCAGTATGGCATTTTGATATTTTCCATTTATTACACTAAAGAACAGACTAACTCACAGTTTCACAGCTGTTTTATTTCAAAGATGATTTTTCAGCATCCTTCACACAATATAATATAGGGTGTTCATTATTAATATTTATTAGACCAACTAAATAGATGGAGAAAAGTTATTTTTCAGGCTTTGAGGCACAAACACACTTCTTCAGACATTTAGATTCTCTACTATTATATGTTCTCCAAAGTAGAAAAGATGCTAAAATAAACAAGAAGTCTGTGGAAAACGCAAATGAGTGAAAGGTTAGAAGTCAATGGGTACGGCTGGGGGGAAAGAGGGAAATGTGAAAGAATGCAAGTGGTTAGCCTGAGGCAGGTTACCTGGTGTGTCAGATGTCAGGCAGGTTGTAATTTTTTCAAACTATTTAGTTGGTCTAATAAAAGATATCATTATCTATCCAAAGAACCTTACCTACGTCCTTAGACCAACATGGCTACAACCAACAAGCCTTTTGTATTACCATTCCTTTTACATTTGTATTACCATTCCTTTAAAAAAGTTTCTATTTTAGAGTTTAGTCACTTTATATAAGTCTATATTAGAGGTGAAGCCATGTCGGACAAACTATCTTATTAGAGACTTGCTGCTTAGTCAAGACAGTCCAGTCTCACAATTACTGCAGTGCCCAGTATTGTTCCTTTATTTTTGTGAGATGGGAGACTTATATGAAAAAGAAAAGACACAACCAGAGTAACAGAAGGCTCAACTGAATCCAATGTCATAGGTGAAGAATGTTCTGGCTCCCCAGTTCTCTCTCCATTCTGCCTTCAAGGGCAAAACTGCTGTGTCTGATTAGCGTTTGGACCATTATCAGCCTACTCACCTCATTAACATATCCTCCTAGAGCCCATTTGTCACAAATAAAAATGAGAGACAAACAAACACTCTTCAGAACTGGATCAACATCTGTTCCAGACCTCCGCTATCATAACAAAAAACAGTTGTAAAATGAGTCCTAATGAGCCCAACTCACTGATTTTTATGTTCATACATGAAATTCCCAATTTTTCTGGGCCACTACTAAAATAGATCATATCCTGTGGTGAATGAAAAAGAACGTATTTCTTATCCCTAGCCCATCTCAGTGTTAGTTTTAATAATGGAGACGGGCATTAATTAATGAAAAAATAACCTTCTGAATGCAGAGTGGTATCACACCTATTTACAGAGACCATAGCAAATGAATCTGAGAACCTAGGTCCAACACAAAGTGTCACAGGTCTCTCTCACGCAAATTAACTAAATCGAGCTATAATTGGTTCCACTCTGAAGAAATATGGGTAACAATGAAAAGGGGCATATAAAAGGCCTGTGTTGTGGAAAGGCTACATGCAATCAAACACTAAACTTCAGAAAGCGGAAGATTTTAATCTGATTATTGTTCTGTCACCTGATGTTAGCATGCCATGTTAGACAAACCATATTATATAACAAACTGTTATGATTAGAAACATTTCAGTTTAAAAGGCTTCATACAGCACATCTTATACAACTTGTACATTCAATAGCTGAGACCAATTACATTTTTGGAAATGATATGTTAAATTGTAGCGCTGCCATTTAAAGCAAAATTAAGGAACTGGAAGTGTTTAAAGAAAGACAATATGGAGGTTTAGTTTGAAAATAATACAGCTGTCATCTGTTCCAACATGCCTACAGAGCTTATAACATAACAAATCTCTCCTGAAAGGGTACAGACACTTCACAGTTATCAGTTTCTCCTTTATTTATTTGCCTAAGCACTTGAACCTGCTTTAATTAAAATAAAAAATAGCACAGTACTTTAAATCTGAATTTTGCATTCTTTCTGCCATCTGAAGTCCATATTTGCAAGGTATCCCAAAGCTAGTACTTTTCAAGGAAGCTAATCAAGGCCTGAAAAGTCACAAAAAAGTCATCCAGTAAAGCTAAAAACTCTGCCATCCCAACAGGAAAAAGAAAAAAAAAGAATGGAGGCCACAAGTGAGAGTAGCAGGGGAAAGCAGAAAGAACAAAAGGAGGGGCAAGAAGGGGAAAACAGATAAGGAGAATAATGGAGAAAACACAAACAACAGGAAAGCAATATTGCTGTAGCTACTAAAATAGTTTACAAGGAAGAAAAAGTGTCACAGAAAGGGGAACACATGACATGCTTTAGAAAAAGAGGAGAGAAAATGAAGAAAGAAAAAGAGAAAAGACATAATACAGCATTTTGGTGGATAAGATTCAATTAATGTAATTTCTAGTTTCACTATGCTGCTTCGAAAAATGCTTCCCATTACAGCTAGATTGTGACACCTAACCACAAATCTAAGTTGAGAGCAAGGAAGAACCAAAGAAGTCCTGGGGATGCTGAGTCTCACACCTCCCTAGTTATGTAGAGAAAAGATCTATAACTCCCCTCTCACCCCACTGCCACAATCATCCCACAATGACCCTTACTAAAATCTTTGCCTATGTGTGTCTCAGTTTCCCAACTCCTTTCTTGGGTTCCTGACTGGCTATATCAATCTCCTGTTTTTCAGGCAGTCTCCTGGGAGGTTGGGTAAGAGTGCCTGAAATAATTTACGGGCTATATTCTCTATTAATTTCCTCCCACTCTAGACAGACTAATCAGATTTTGCATAGCAGTCCAAAGAAGTTCTGTAGTTGCTGGGCAAAAATTGGAAGAAAGGAAGGACTTCCCCCACTTAGTTTACTTTGCCTTTCTAGCACATAATCCACATGGAGGAGAACTTTCCCTTGAGTTCCTCCAGTACTGTCATGCCCTAATATTGCTGCCTTGGCAGGAAAACAATACTCTAGAGAGGAAGGAGAGCCTTAGGTAATAACCTAGGGATGTGCCAAACAGAATATCTGAAAGGTTGAAAAGAAAGAAGCCACAAAAGAGATAGAGAGAGCTAAATTCAAAGTGAAAGGAAAGGAAAATGAGAGAGAAGGGAAAGTCTAGGAAATATTCAGAGGAAGGGATGGGATATGGGAGATGGCTGAAGCAAACTAAAGTAAATTTCTGGATGAGATGGAAGAGAAGAATCAACAGATTTGCTGGATTGGGAGGAAATCGATGAATTTGGTATGAACAAAGGTATTATACAAATAAGGTACTCCACATTTCTCAAATATTCAAATCTGTAAAAACAAAACAAAAAAAAACTCTCCATATTTCCCCATCTTCCAGGCCTAACTGTTGAAGATAGAAAAGAAAGTGTTGGAAGAACATTACTGATGATGATTTGCTATGGAACAAAGCTAAATGGGGCAATACTTTTAAAAAAAATGGTGCAACACATTGACAGATATCTGTTTCCTTAATTTCAAGCCCCCAAAACTCAAGCTAATGCTTATCAACAGTATAGACCATCACAGTTATTCAGTCTACATTTACATGCGTGATGTGGAAGAGGGCACAGAATGCTTATTCCACTTTTCCATTTAGATTTCCACCAAATAACATGTTAGCAAGAAACATTTACACACAATAATACAAAATATAATAATAATAATAATAATAGTGGTAATAATAATACACAAAGCCAAATTACTTGAAATCTTGAATGATTAGTATAACTGGATAGAGAAGCAGGACCTATGTGCGTTGCCTACATATACTGATTATTGCAATTTTCCTTATTTACACTCCAGTTTACATTTTTTAAAATAATCTTCAAAACTCTTGATTCTTCCTTGGCACTGCCTCTGCAAATATCCTCTGTGAAGGTCACACATTTGTGTGTGGCAGGTCATGTAGTTCCCATAGCAACTGTGACGTGGATCTGCAGATGCCATTTATTTGAAAAAGCTACCTGGTTACATAAAGAGTCAAGGGTTAGGGTCATCAGGTCTAGGGGAAATAAAAAATGAAATATAATGTGAATCTTGTTTTAGGATATTTTCCAAATTGATTCCTTTTTAAAAAGAAACAAACATTAGATTAGCTTTTCAGATGGGAAATTTAAGCATGCTTGCCTGCATTTTCATGAGCATTCTGACCAATCACAATAAACATAATGATTAGATGAGTAAAATGAATCTGCCCAGGTGAAGGTCATGCATTTGTCTTTTTTAAATAAACCCTTCATGTATTGTAAAAGTGGTTCAGTTGCAGATGTGCAGGCAATCATGCCATAAAGTGGCAATAACACCTTTATTTATAGAATTTAAAGCTCCATTGAGAGCAGTGAATAAATGATGAGCTCATTGGTGAAGACATTCACCAATTAACAAGCAGCAGCTGTTTGTCTTTCTTTTTTTAGGGCCCAATTGATTAAACTGCATGCCTCATTTAAGCAGGATTCTCTTGTACTTTACCTGGATAAGAGAGGTAGAACACCTATTTTTGGAACAGAGTAGTTGCTCTTCTGATTTATTAAACCTCTTTCCAACTGAATGCAAATTACCTATTTTGTGTTATTGTGCATACATATAGAGACTATGAGTTCATGAAAATACTTCCTATAAACACAACAGTACATTTTAACAGCAAACAGTTTGTATGACAAATTATTCAGGTTTAAACTATATTTGCTTTGCTACATAGTAGAAAAAAAAATACTATATAAACTGCCATACCACTAGGAAGAATGAATGGTCCAAAAGTATAATCATGGCTAGGGACAGACATTACACGTAAACTGGGTTAAGTGACCAGAAACTGGTTTAAACCTCTAACAGAACAGATGTTCAGTGCACATAAACGAGTTTTAAAATAGCTGAAACTGGTTGGAGATAAACCTGGTTGAATATAGAATCAGACTTGACTGATTTGGGTCAAACCGGTTTATGTAATGTCTGTCCCTGACTCCTTCCTCGTTTAACTTAAACCAGAGTTCCCCAGCATCCCAGATGCTTTGTAGCCCTGGGGGGGACTCTCTGCTCCAGAGCAGGGCTGGCCCCTCCCCTCTGGCTGCAGCCTCCGCAGAGACAGCAGGCACAGCAGTGTCTGCCTGGCTTTCCCCTACCCCCACCCCATTACCACTCCCTGCTCAAGCAGGGCTTCCCCCCTCCCCTCTCCCACAGCGCGGACAATAACCAGCATGTGGTATGCTAGCTAATGCTGAGAGGTGTCTGTGTAAAGCAGACAGGACAAAAGTAGACAGGACAGTGTCCGCTTACGGCTTTTTGGAGCTAATCAACAGGTAGGTGGTAATGTCCCTCCATTCCTTTCTTGGAAAAAGCTGTTTAAGAGCTTGAACTAATGAGAGACTTTTGTTTAGTTTTGTTTTGATGAGCTGATAAATGCAATCAACTCTCTGTGTAACTCCCTGCTGGCTCCATCGCTGGTCAGGAACAGCGAGTGGGGACAGGAACCCCCCCCTAATCAGAGTGCCCTGCTGGAGTCTGGTCATGCCCCCGACTCCTCAGCTCAGCACTATAGAAAGGAAAGGAGGGCTGCTCTAGCTTCTAGAGCCACTAGAAGGAAGCCCCCTGGCTTCTGAGCCACTGCAGGCACGTCCCTGCATTTCTTCAGTCCAGAAGGAATGTCTTCACGGTCACAAACTGGTTCAGCCTAACCAAGTTAAACTAACCTGCAAAGATTGAATCAATTCAGGCTCAGGCTTTTCAATGTCTGCCCCAGCCTCTGCATTTATCAGAGGACTTCAGATTAGACAATATTGGTCCACAGACATGCCACAAAACTGCAGTAAATGTACCATATGAAGATTACATTATTTAAAGATTTCTACTTATTGATACAATGTGATGTGAGAGTTTGATCACAGCCTACAAATTAGCTAACAAGGGAAACAGAAATGTTATAGTCAATGGCTTACCAATCTAACATAAAAGGTGTAACAAGTTGCAATGCCTGGAAGTTGAAGCTCGACAAATTCAGAATAATTAAAAAAGTTAAGAGAGAGGGTAGCTAACAACTGAAACAATTTACCAAGCACTGTGGTAGATTCTCCACAACTGAAAATCTTTAAAAATCTAGATTTTTTTAATATGTCCTAGTTCAACCACACGTATTAGACTTGAACTACGAATTAATTCAGTTAAATCCTTTGGTCTGTATTACACAGGAAGTCAGATTAGATAATCACAGTAGGCCCTTTAGATTTAAAAAATCTATGAAGAATCTTAAGCATGTTGTTTATATCTTGCATACCAATAATCCTAAAGTATAAAATCATGTAATCCAACCAATTTGCTGAAAAACTTGAAGTTCATTCTCTGAACTCCCAGACTCAAAGGGCTCATATGTAAGGATCTGCTACAAACAGCTGGTTCGTTTATTCTCCTTTCTCTAGGGATATCACTGGGGCAGTGAATACCTCAGATATACTTAAGAACATACTTCAACCATCAACAGCATCTACTGGTATTTACATAATGCCAGAGTGGGGGAAATGTCTGCAGGATATGGTAGGGTTGCTCTAGTTCTGGTACAGTGGATGAGGCTCTCCTTGGGCAAATTAGCAGCTCCTCAGGTGGGTTTCCCTCCATGCTGGAGCCAAATCAGCCACAATCCACTGCCTCCAGACTCAGCTACTCCAAATAAATTGCTTAAATAGAAAATGCCAGACAACGTGAAAAATGTGTTACTGGGCATATTGCTGTTCGCAAGGAACGGCTCTCTGCTCTATCACTTATAAAACTGGAAGACGTGTCTCGTGTTGAAAGCATCTGTGATAAACACAATCATCTGCATGTATTTTTGCTAAACCCATAAAACAAAAATGATAACACATCTTTGTAGCATGCTCTCTTTTCCACTCCTCCTGTTGTTCCTTTCCTGAAAAATTCCAAATATGCCTTCACCTCTGAAAATCTTCTCACCAGCTCCTAAGGACCTCCCTAGTTCCAGTGAGACCATACCTCTTCCATGTGACCCAATTTCACTATGCTGCTAGGAAAGGTATCCTTTCTGGCAGTGCAAACAGCAGCACTTATATCCTTCTTCCCTCCCAACTTGATAAAAAATTCTCCCTGTAAAGAACTCTTTTCTTTCTGATTCTTTCAGTTTTAGTAAGCCTTATTTTGGGTTAAATATTAAATAGTACAGCAATTTTTATTCTTCTAATGCTAACACTTGCATTAGGAAAACATAACAGTGAAACTGAAATAGAGAAATATTTTTTAAACTACCACTTTAGAGACTATTAAATAATCATACAGTCCATAGGTACAACAAAATGCATAATGAGTGGTTTTAAAAGCATAAACATAACAAACTGGAATAACATAACCAAATGTACACACGTGCATGCTCATGCTAAAATCTATTTACAAAATACACGTTTATGTTTCTGAGCATTCCTAACAACATCATCATAAATTATTTCAATTTTTCTGTGGGTTTTTATAACTTGTCATTTTATAATAAATTAAAATTCTGTACTTACTAGTAGTTGATACAGAGACAGCAGAACTATAAGTATTTTGGCCTTCAGGGGTAGTGACCTTCAATCGAAATCTGTAAGCTGTTCTTGGTTCAAGACCATCCACGACAAACTGTCTAGCATATCCTCTAAAAAAAAATTGTAATTAATTCAAATAGTATTTTTCAAATTTGGCAAACGTATGCAAGTTGTAAGTGTCGCAAGCATAATGTTCTGGGAACCTATCTTTCAAAAATACAGCTGCCTAACTGCTCAAAGCAAAATGACTGCTCAGTTGTGGAGCTCTACTTCCACACAGATTCACCTGCAAGATGTAGGCTCAAAGGCCCTGTCTACATAGGAAAGTTTTGAGCGTAAGCTAAGTTGTGAATTTCAACCAATATACCAGTATTTATGACCCCCTCCATAGCTGCTCTTATTCTAATATAATTGTGGATTTTTTTCAGTTTAGCCTATGCCACTTAGAAAAGGCTTTAAATTAATGTGATAGAAGCTACTTTTACACTAGAATAGCAGTATAATTTTACCAGGAAACCATTTTGTGTTTCACAGGCTTGATGTATAAGTGTAATTAACATAAGCTCTGTATGTAAATTAGATATTTTTAAAAGGAAACAGTAAAGTAGATATTTAAACCATTTTGCTCACACAGCTAGCAAATTTGTGCATGCAGTTGCTATGACTGTATTTAAACTTAATTATGCAATTGTGCTTATCTTTGAAAGCAAAAAATACTAAATATCTACAGGTATGTTGTCATTTATAATTTAAGTACATTCAGCAGTTGGAATGACTTAATCGGAGGGAAGAACAGGTTTTTAATAATATTCCTTTAACATTACAAACAAATTCAAAAGATCAATCAAAACATTTACCAAAACTCTACAAAACCTACCATGTAATGCCTGCTGAATTCCAAGACACAAAAGCCTCCTTCCTTATTAGAAATTATTTTTAAATTAAAAATGTCTTAAAATGTCAAGTTTAGTAATAATCAAGAGACTGGTTTGGCAAAGCATAAAAACTCCACTTTGATACAGTCTAATTCTGCCACCTAGTGACAGCTCTTACACTGAGTTACATTCCAAGGACACTGTGTGCCAGAGCAGGAAACATAGTAGTCTGTGCAGTGAGCAGCTTGCGCTGCAAACTGCAATCA